ACTAAACCTGAGTCATGGGTCGGTCCCTCAGTTACATGCATGATCAGCTGATGGGTGTTTTCTCTCTCTCGTGTCGGAAAGAATTGATTGGTGGTAATGCGAGTGTTTTTCCTTGATGACGTCTCGGGATTTTTGCAATTGATTGACATGTGGACTGACCAACGCCCTTYGATCGAGCGTCARCCTCCYGTATCTCCCACGTTAACGCGACCTTTTCCTTACGACRAGGAAAGGACACGTGTATGCGAGTGGGACGTATGAGAAGCTGTCGCACAGATCGGCGGACGCTATTACTTCCCTTYGGAAAATCGTTGTTCAGGGTTCGTAGAGGCTGGGTTTGTCATTATGGATACACACTTTCCACCTTATTCGATATTGTTGCCATTTAACGAGTTGATCGTCATCCCGTGGGCGGCAGTAGAACCCCACTGGCCTCACACTCTATGCACCGAGTGCCAGCGCTTTGAGCGCTACGAATCCAAGGGTTTCCACTACCGCGTACGGAGTGAAGACGAACACAGAGAAAGAGCCACACGACTAAGACCCTCCACGTCGGACTCAAAACTAACTGGCGAGCGACGTCGGGACTTAATACGAAGACGAGACACGCGAAGCGTGCCGAAGCCTTTTCGCTCTAAACGAAGAACCGTAGCACGGTGGGAAGTCAGGCAATACTTTTTGGATTGAATTTGTATTTCTCCCTCCTTTCGCACTGAACCCTCGCGCGCATTTTGCGACGTGCGAAAAACGGTCGACTTACTCCATCGGACCAACACGGGGGATTTCAGTTCTGTATGTGTCCCCACACTCAATTTCCAAAAATCCTTGGCACACCTTATCTTGCTGTTTTTCTGGGCCTCGTTTTTCGTACCTCTAGCACTCCGAACGAAAGATAGCACAGGGCGTGAGGTTGGTATCGGAGCCGACACGTGGCGGTTCTGATGATAGTAAGTCGAGCGGGCGAGAGGTAGAAGAAGTCCCCCACCCACTCGCCGAGATCGTCCAATGACCAGATCTATATCTGGTGCGGCTATACCGGCTATACCAATGATAGACGGTAACAGGGTGATGGTTAGCATTCCTGCCCCCTTCCCCTTCTTTCCTAACCATACCCACCCTGAAGTTTGGGCGGAAGCCGTCGAAGCTCAAGGATATAGCGCGGGTGATCTTCCCCGCGTTCTTACCTTGCTGCTTCGTAATACGGCACATGACTGGTTCAGAAAGCACACGAGGGTAGATTGGAATACCTTCAAACAAGCGTTCTTGGCTCGATTTGATACGGTCAGTGAAGATGCCGCCTGGTACGTACTCAAAAATCGTCCGCAAGGACTAGGGGAATTGCTGCCTGATTTCGTGGATCGATTTCAGACCATATTGGATAAATCTGGGCGAGATGAGAAATCCGCTCGAGATTTGTTCATCGATCATCTACGAAGTCCGATGCTAAAAGGGAAGTTACAGAAAAAGTTTCCCCCAAAAACTACCAGTTGTCGGCTATCATCGCTAAAGCCCTCGAGTTAGACTTGCCCGATACAAAGAAATATATCAGTCAGGGAGACGAAGACATCACATATACGATACAGGATGTAGCAGCTAAAAGACGATCGTGGTTACGGGCGGTAGAACGGTTTTATCCCCATGACCTCCCCGACGGGACCGCCTCTGATATCCCGCTAGCTTCGTCATCTTTACCTCCAATGAATCCATAGGCAGCAGCGGTTAAAAGCAGAATCCCCAACGATTCTCCCTCTCAGGCCGTAACAAACTTACATCTTGCACAAATGATCCATACGGCCGCTACCAAGCAATCGGAATGGATGAGCAACCTGGTTCAAATGCAGGCAGCTCACATAGAGCGGATGGAACAGATAATGAGCAGGCTAATTAAGCCCAACCCGGCCCCTGCTCGACATGCCGCTGCGTCATTTCCCCTCTTGCCTGCCCCGCCTGCACCTGGGTATGCCCCACAGTTATCTCACCTAGCCAACCCAGCAGGAAAGGTCGAGTGTTTTAACTGCAAACAGCCCGGACATTTTGCCCGGGACTGTCCGCAGCCGAAACGTAATCAGCCCCCTCCAGCCGCGGCCCCTGTAGCTCTGAACCAAGGACGAGTGGCCACACTGATGGACACGGCCCAAGGTGGGGAACTTGTTGCATATGAGCAACCCTCCCCCTCAACGACATCTGCTTCCACCTCGGGAGCTTTTTCCTCCTCTGACGCTGCCGACGTGGTCGATCCACTCGAGTATCTTCATCTCACTGGCATGGTCGGAGCAATCCGATCGGCCCATGATGATCTAGAATGGGTCGATCACGAATCCAATCCCGGTCCGTTGTTTCGGACGGGAGAAATTGATGTATTACGAACGCTTAAGCAGCTGGATATTCGTGTTCCGATCCCGGTAGGGCATTTGCTCACCATCTCTGAAGCTGCAAACGATAAGCACCTGCAACATTGCCAGAAAAATCAAAAGCGCTTCAAGTACCAGTAAGTACAGCGAATGTTGAAGAAGAAGGAAGGAGGCGAGGAGGTTACACCACCTGAACCTGAAACGGGTGAACCCGAAGCAGCACGAGTAGCTGCGATTTCGTTGGCAGAGAGGGATCACTTCGTACGAGCTCGACTGGTGTTGTGGAAAAGCGCTGAGTGCAATTGTGAAGTTTGGGGCAAACCATTTAACGCCCTTATCGATACTGGGTCTTCCGCGGTGGCCATATCCTTAGACACAGTAAGAAAGACAGGACGGCATGGATCCATTCTCCCTCAATCTGGCAAAGACAATTACGTCTCTGCCGACGAGGAAGCAATGAACATCGTAGGTATTCTTGAGAATGTGGCTGTGAAGGTCGGACGAATACACGTCCTTGTTAACGCACTAGTAATAGATGTGCGCTCCTATTCTGTGTTGTTAGGATTACCTTGGGCGATGGCGGTAGGTGCTCGTCTGCATTTTGACTCCAAACAACTGGTACTCACGCAAACTGGGGGAAAACCTCAGACTGTTCCTTTGCGGATTTCCACCCGGACGGTAAAATGAACTCCTAACTCTGCACAAGTAAGGATGATTCAAGGCCTCGATCCTGAGGAACCTTCTTCCTCGGACATCAGTAGCGGAGTCGGGGAACAGGTGTACGAAGAAGAAATGCCTAGAGGGGATGAATAGAAGCACCTGGTCGAACTTTTCGAGCACGAAATTCCCGAAGAATTTCAATTGTGCCCCAGAACCGCCCGAAGCTTCCACGTGGGTTCGGAAGACGGCACGCTCGCGCCGCTGGAAACCCGGATCAGTCCTTCAAACCTCCTCGGGGAACCCATCCTGCAAGTATTTGACCTAGCAGATGATTTGGAACCCCCTCGCACCTTGTACAAGGGAGCGCTTTCCCTACGAGCACGCTACCAACAAACAAAACAATATGTGGATGTTTCTGTTTTCCCACCTAGATCTCTGCTAACTGTGGGAGCGACCATCGCTTTGATTAAACAAGAGGCCGAAGCACCAGTAAGCGATGTACCCTATCTGATGCAGGAGATGGCGGATCTAACAAGACTAACTGTGGAAAAAACATCGGCCGGTTCAGAGACTGATGCCAAAGCCAAGGAAACCGAAATAATCAGCCCTGCTGAATCACAGATGATTGCGACTGTCTTCTCTATTCCCACCAGTAGCTCCGTTTTTTTCAGTGTCCATGAGCGACGAGAAAGGCCGGTTGATTGGGTTGACATATCTCTTCAGATCCCTGGACGACCGACAATCTCCCTCCCAAACCACGTCCCCACCGAACGGCAAAAGTCGCTAATTAATGTTTTGAATGGCTACGTAGAGGTATTGAGTGTGCGCGATAATGATATCGGTCTAACTAATGTGATTGAACATGTCATTCTCATGGGGGACCATCCACCCATTAGCTGCATTCCTTATAGGTACTCACCAGCTCAAAGAGCGGCCGCTTTTCAGCGGATCAAATAATTTGAAGCTAATGGATGGATCGAACCCGCTATAGGACCATGGTCTTTCCCCGTAGTGATTGTGCCTAAAAAGGCCGGAGGAATTAGCATTTGCATCGATTATCGAAAGTTGAATGATATCACGATCAAGGATGTATACCCTCTCCCCCGGATTGACGAATTGTTGGATGCAATTGGGAGTGCTCGATTTTTCAGCAAGTTTGACGTTCGCCATGGGTTCCATCATCTTCTTGTTCAAGAAGAAGATCGCCCGAAGACTGCGTTCGTACTCTTCGAAGGTACGTGGCAGTGGATTCGATGTCCGATGGGCATCTACAATGCTCCCGCAACTTTTCAGCGAGCCATGAACATGGCCTTCCAGAATTTCGTGCGGAAGACTCGTTTGGTGCAGAGTATCATTAACTACTGCGTGATCGTATACATGGATGATATTCTGGTATACTCGAGTTCCTACGCAGGGCACGTGCAACACATCGAATGGGCACTGCATGGGTAACGAGATGCGGGTTTCAAGATGGCGTTCGAGAAGTGCCAGTTTTTCCTTACCACCATTTCCTTCCTGGGACACATGGTGACCGACCAGGGACTCAGGCCGGAGCCGCAGAAGGTGGCAATTGTAAGAGATGCGCCGGTGCCTACGACTATCACGCAAGTTCGCGCCTTTTTGGGACTGGCCTCGTACTACCGAAGTTTCATTAAGGGTTTCGCGGCGATTGCGGGACCCCTCACGAATCTACTGGGAAAAGATCAGTCATTGATCTAGACGCCGAAGTATGATCAAGCGTTTTCGAAACTCAAGGCCGCCTTCATTTCGGCCCCGGTCCTATCCCGAAAAGCCTTTTGTCCTCAGTACTGACTGGCAGCCAGAGGCAATTTCTGCGATCCTGGCCCAAGTGGGACCAAGCAGACTTGAGTGCGTAGTAGAGTATGCGTCCAAATCGGTGCCCACCTGCAAGCGTAACTACGCCGCTCCAACAGGAGAATGCTACGCGGCTCTTTGGGGAATCAGTCACTTCCGAGCTTACTTGTACGGGCGGAAGTTCACATTGGTAACTGATCATGAGCCTCTGCTAGCCCTGAAGAAATCTAAGGATTACTCGGGCATGATCGGACGATGGGCAACGGTGCTGCAGAGCATGGACTTTGACATTCGTCACCGGAAACACGAAAGGCACGGGAACGCGGACGGATTGACACGACTGCACCGACCTGAGAAGGTTCCAAAGAATGAGGAGGTGATTCCGTGGAACGAACCGAAGAAGGAGAATGGACCTCGATATGACCAGGTGGAGATCCTATCAAAGGAGTAAGTGACACGGGGTCCACTCTTTGTTCTGCCTCCCTCGGCAATTCAGTCCCATCTCTCCCTTTCTGCCATCATGACTAGCCCACCCGTCTTTGCGACCCCCTCTTCTCCTACTAATTTTGCCCCTCTCACCTCATCCGCTTTCTTTGCCACCCTCCCCGATAAATTCTGCTATTTTTGCACATGTATTGCACGGGTTTATGGGGTTGACTGTCATCCTTTCGAAACCGGGTTTGTCGATTGGGTAGAATGTGCCACGTGTGTCAATCGTGCGCATGGGGCCTGCGTTCGCTATCGGACAAGTAGCAAGGAATGGAGGTGTCCTCTGTGTAGAACGGCCAAACTCCCCACAAAGGTTCGATTCGAGGCCGCCCGAACGGACGGACCTGAATATGACGAGAAATACCGACGAGCGGAGGTTTGGACGGATAAAATTTTATTAGCTAAATTAGCGGGATTATCATTGGGTCACCTCACCAAACACGACAGACGTAGGGCTACTGAGAGATCTCGGAACTATCGATGGATCAACAGTCATTTGGAGAAGCGTAAAACTGACGGATCGGGTTCGTGGCTGACTGTCCCTCATCCATTTCAGAGATATGATTGGACCCGATCTACTCACGGAGACCAGGCCGCTCATTTTGCGATACGTGTCACAGAGGCAACTATAGGTTCTGGTCCAATATATGAGATGATGTCAAATACGTTGTCGCCTACTGTCTGGTCTGTGTCGCGGATCGTGCCCCAATACGGGGACCGAACACGATAGTACCTACGGAAGTAGAACGCCCCTTCCAGCAAGTCAGTATGGACACAACAGATATTGGCGTGCCACCAGGCCCAAACCGGTGTGAATATTCTATCCTTTTAGTATTAATAGATTATTTTTCCAAGTACATCGAAGTCTACCCCTGCAAGACCTGCAAGGCCGCAGAAATAGCCACGTACATCGATCGGTTCCTCTATACCCATCTAGATATGGAAGAAATTATGACCGACAATGGGTCTGAATTCAATGGCGAAGTAGAGGAACTGCTCGCGCGAAGGGGCATCACGCTCCGACATACCGCACCCCACGTGTCTCTGTCGAACGGATTGACCGAAAATGCCAACCGTATGATTAAAACCGCCCTTCGCAGAAATTTAGTGGCACATGACACGCGTCCGTGGCCCGAGATCGTGTACCAGATCGTCGGAATTCACCGGGCCACCCCTCATGAGTCCACGGGGTTCACCCCCTTTCAGCTTCGCACTAATAGCCTCCCCTATGTCGACTACCAGGGTAAATCGGAAATTGCTGAAGCAGGGGGCAGAGACACGCGTACCGCCCTCAAGGCCAAGGCCAAAAGGTATACCGAATTAATGGAACGGGCCGTCCCGAAGCTAGCGCGAAAAAGACAGAGGATGACCAATCTGGCCCACGGTAGGCAGGTCCGTAGCTATGAGGCTTGAAATGGAAATGCTGGGCCCCAGCATCCATATAAATTAGGGGACCTAGTGCAGGTACGTAAATGTGCACGCGACCGGAAACTCGCTCCCAAGTTTTCTGGCTGTTTCCGCGTTGTCGAGCTCGGACCCAACGGCGCCAACACGGTGTGCATCGCGCCCGAGGCTAGCGCCAGCCATAGCTCTGTCCCCATCGTCCGACACACCTCCTACCTCCGACCTCTCCCTCCCTCTGATCTCCCCCTTTCTTCCTCCTCTGAAGGTGAGGAGAACGACGACGATCTAACTCTCTCTCCGCTCTCTCCCTCCTGCCCTTCGTCTTCCTCTCCGTTCTCGCCATGAGCTTCATCACGGAGCGGGCTCTCGATGATCAACTGTTGCAGCCACGTGGCCACATCTCGGAAATTTGGCAAGTTCGTCATCCACGGCTTAGCACGGATCTTCGACGTCTAGCGAAGTTCTTGTGCGACGTGGGTGTGTGTGCAGCCGCCGCGTTTTGATTCGAAGGGAGTCGGCAGGCAGTAGTATTGGCGGAGATGGTAGCGGTTCATCGGCGAGCGACTCCCGGAACGAGCCACGTTACCACGGTCGCGGCTTTCAGCGACGACATCAGTACGATCAGCCCACTGTGGCATACCGCGATCTTGACCTCGCTGCGAGAGTGGACGGAGCAGGTGTCCAACGTATGGCAACACGGTTTTGCCCGACCAGGGCACAATCTCATCCTGACCTTTGCACCTGATCTTGACAGGGTCCGTCTCTCTCCGCGCGAGCCAGCGGTCGCGATCCCCACCCTCGTTGCTTTCCCACGCCCCCGATGAGCCACGCCGCCCTCCTCGCCCCTCTCTCCATCTTTGGTCTCCCCTCTCTTTTCCCTACCTTCTGGCAGTCCGATCTTCATCCTCATCTCTCCCTCTTGATTGAACCCCTTTCCGTCCCGCTTCTTAATCCCGGGCATTGGCGACTCCGGCGCAAGACCTTTGTCGAGCTGTCAATGTGCTTGGCTCAAGTACGGGTGACGTGGACGCAGACCAGCGAGCGTCCCGCGTGGCTCGAAAATCTGGAACTGCGGATCATACAAGCTTGGAGGACTAACGTGGAGGGTGATCTCCTCGACTTTCTCTTTGGATCGGTGCGGTCGGGACATCGCTAGCTAATTGCTCAAGAACTCATCGCGCCGATCGTGCAACTGGCAGACGATCTCTCTCCTGACATCGTTTCGCAAAGCGACGACAGCCCCGCTCCGCACATACTCACACGAATGTTGGATCCGTATCTTCAGTGGAGTGCATGCTTGGAAGAGCCTGGGGATGAAGCCTCTCTACCGTCGCGGCAGGAGTATCTGAAGCCATACGGCATCATCAATCACGCTTTCTATCCGAAGACGGAGGAGGTAGTGATAGAAGAAGAGGAAAGTGACGACGACGAGGAAACATCGGAAGAGGGAAGCTATAGCGAGTATAGCGAGGGCGAGCAGAGCGAAGAAGAAGAAGAAGAAGAAGAGGAAGAGGAAACAGGGTCTGAGTGGGAAGCCTTGCCGGAGGAAGCGACGCGTACTGGCACGGAGGCGGAAGATCCTGAGGCAGCACGCAAGCGATAAGAAATTGCCACCGGGAAATGCCAGCTGGAGTTCGCCAGCGGAGCACGCCTGCGCATCGGTGACGATCCGACCAGGGATCCGGAGCCGCCGAAGCCCGAAGATGGCGACCTAGCAGCCGCCACCCCAAGCACCTCACGGCGGAGACGGAGTCAATCCTCCTACCCCTCCAGCCCCACCCGTCCCCCAGTTCGTCCACGTACCGATGCGGGGGATAGGCCTTCGTCCCCAGACATTATCTCGCCGCCCCCTTGATTACCTCACCCTCGAGCAGATCCACACCCCCGTCACCTTCCCCCGCCACCCCTTCCATCCCCATCTCTTCTGTGATCTCTACTCTACGCGCCTAATCGCTACCGTATACCCTCACCGCTCCCTTCAGCCCGCTGCCCCCACGTTCTGTCTACACATCCTGTTGTTCAGCATTGCATGCGAGCAGTGCAACGTAGTAGAAGTCTATTGTGTGGCCACGGGAACGATCCCCGACTGTCGCCACTACGATTTCTTTCTCGCATCGCTCTTCCGCACCCTATCCTCCCTCTATCGCGACTACCTCGCCTCTCTCCCTCATAGCGGCGATCGCTTCCCTCGTTTTCACCGGATCATTCGCTATGGGGAGCTTCCAGTGACAGTAGAAGGATTGAATCGCTACCTGCCTCCACTTCCTCCCCGACGTCCCTGCGGACTTCCCTCCATGTACCGTCTCTACTGGCCCATTCCAACAAGGCGGTAAAACCCAATCGCATGACTATTCTATTGATACACTTGGTTCCTCATGCGTCACTATTCCCCCCCCTTCCTTCCTTTTCCACCGTGACATGCAATCAGGAGATCGCATAATTTTGGAACCCCCTGTGTGTCACATATGTGACGAACTACTTCCCGAACCCGTAATATCTTTCGTACCCCATTGATTTGAATTTCTCTTGTATCATACTGACCTTGCAAGCACCCCGTTTTGTTTTCTTGATTTCGAGCGCCGCGTTTTGGGCCCCCATCTTCCGGAAACTTTTGTGATTCTTCGGTTCTGCTTTTTCTTTTTGCAATTCGGGAAATGCATAGGAATTTACGGGCACCTCAGCGAACGCATTGGGAATTGGGCCCGACAGTTAGAAATTCCGGGATAAGCGAAACTTCGACGTGTCCTTTTTGTGTGTGAATGTTCTCGGACGCGTTGGGGAAAACTCTCAGAATTTTGTGAGAATACGAATAGGCGTAGGACTTTCTTTTTCCGCGTCGTCCCTTTCGCGCGCGGATATTGTGATTTCAATTTTGAATTGGTTTAGGACATAGGCAAGCTGTAACTGTTTCGGTGCCTTTTTCTCTTTCTTTTTGTTGATGGCGCCACGCATACGAAGCTTTCTTCTCCCCCCCCCCGCTCCGTTTCCCGCATCATTCTCTCCCGCGCCCTTTCCCCCTTCTCATCCTCCCTTCTCGCAAGTGTTTTTTTTTTTTCTCTCTCCCGCTCTGATCGGTTGCGCGCCCATTTCCCTTTCTTGATCATCTGAATTTTGGACCCGTCTTGCGCTACTTCTCGCGCCCTTTTTCCTTTCGCCTTCCGAACGTGAATCGGAAGCCCGGTCGATCCTTCGATCACTCTCGCCCACCAATCAGACGCGTGGTACGATAGGATCTGCCTATTGCGCGACGAATCTGATTGGCGAAGCTCAGAGTCCCGAAGGATCAACATGGCTTCCGTAGCGCGCTCCTCGCCAAGTCTTCTCCTCTTGCTTCTTTTCTTACACCTCGATTTTCCYCCTGCCTTYTCTCTCCCTTGTCCCCCTTCTCGCCACTATAAATTTYGCAAACGCGCSCGCAAATCTCTCTCTTACGTTCTCGACTCCCAAGCCAGCTTCCGGGAAGCAGTGGCTAGGCAGAGTGTTTTGTGCGAGTCGGAAAGTCCTRTCGGGCTGACGATAGGCTRGCCGGCTGCGCGCTTGATCGCCACGACGGACTGTGGGATCCGGGCGAACCGCGTCGAGTTTACGTCGGCGGGGTGACGATCGCAGTGGTGGGAGTTCACACGCGACGACAGGGATCRTCGGTGMGGGTATGAGGATCGATGATTGGAGTTGAGTGGGTGATTGGCCCGGGGCCATATTGGAATTCACGGCGAATGCGCCTTTGATTGATTGCGGATCTTTATCTCTGGCGTGAGTGTACGACGGCAACGCCGAACTTYCTYTTTTCGSATCTTGTCATCTCCCATCTCTACTGCCCTCCCTCGTCTCTCTCTCTCTTCTATCTTTGAATGACGATGTGTCTTGATGCTTGTCCCTCTCATGAATGGGAATGAAATTGTGTGCTCTCCCGTGTGAAGCAACTTCTTCYGGAACTCTTCCATTAGTTTCCTGGGTAATCCCCAAATGTTGAGGAGYTGGTCCTCTTGTCTTGTGAACGGTGGATGCGTGCGTACAACTCCCTCGGTTGATTTCTGGCGTGTGCACCCMTGTCATTTTCGCACCTTCCACAGTGAATGCATGTGTGAAGATGCTTGCCTTTTTGGTGTTGATTGGACGCAGCACTCGGCGGGATTTTGTTCGAGAATGCAAGAATGTTTAGATCTGTAGTTCTGAATGTACTGCGCATGCCATCTGCCTTATGTTGCACGACATCTGCCACCGATCCATGGGGCAGCCCCGAGGAACAGGGCGCCTGGGATTAACGCCGCGGTGGCTTACTAAACCTGAGTCATGGGTCGGTCCCTCAGTTACATGCATGATCAGCTGATGGGTGTTTTCTCTCTCTCGTGTCGGAAAGAATTGATTGGTGGTAATGCGAGTGTTTTTCCTTGATGACGTCTCGGGATTTTTGCAATTGATTGACATGTGGACTGACCAACGCCCTTCGATCGAGCGTCAACCTCCCGTATCTCCCACGTTAACGCGACCTTTTCCTTACGACGAGGAAAGGACACGTGTATGCGAGTGGGACGTACGAGAAGCTGTCGCACGGATCGGCGGACGCTATTACTTCCCTTCGGAAAATCGTTGTTCAGGGTTCGTAGAGGCTGGGTTTGTCATTATGGATACACACTTTCCACCTTATTCGATATTGTTGCCATTTAACGAGTTGA